GCTCACTGGCTGAGCGAGGCGCGGGGGCAACGCCGAGGGTTGTGATCCCATTGCTGGTCCCGGTCCGGTGCGGGGGCGACACTGAGGGTTGCGATCGTTGCGGGACACGGAAAAAGACAAAAAAGGAGAAAAAAAAAAATCACCAGGGAGGGGGAACTGGAAGGCGAAGGAAGGGAGGAAGGAAAAGGGGAGGGGAGAGGAGGGAAAGGAAAAATGCAGGGAGATCCCCTACTTAATCCAACGCAGAAATGAATCTTACACACGTTACCTGTCTTAATTCCGATACTAAAAATATGAGAGCAGCTAAAAATATGAGAGACTGTCACCTGTAGTACACCGGTTTTAATAAGTTAATGTTTTTTAAGGGAACACATTTAAGGGAGCCCATTAGCAAGCATCCGACTCTGATCCTAACAGAAATCTCTTTCACCTGATTTAGTTCATCCTGAGATAATGATCCTCAGCATTACTGATAAAAGGAAAATTAACGCTTAACATTCCCTTTGATCCCAGCGAATCTGTTAGTTTTCCCACTAAAAAGTGCTACTCACGGGGGAAACTGCCTAACAAACAACTCCCAATCTCAGATTGTAATATGCAAAATCGCGTTAAACTGTAAAATCAATGTTTATTCAGATACTTGGAGAGAATAACGTTATATAAAAAAGCCTAATTGCTCGGGTGTCCTGATTGGGAAACAATGTAACACTGAGTATCACTTTCTCAATGGCTCTTGGAGGGGCTCAGTTCCTGACTAGAGCCTCATGGCAGGATGCACAAGCCCCACCTTCCCATCAGCCTGGTCTTTTCTTTCAAACCCACCCTGCGTGGCTGCAGCACAGACCCGCATGGTCATGGCCACGCGCCTCTGCTGGACGCGGCTGTCCTCGCCCGGACGCAGGGCTCCCTCGGCCTCCAGCCTCCCGCCCCACAGCCCAACTGGGGGAAGAGCCACCATCGCCCTGTATTCTCTGTGCCTGCGAACCCCAAGGACCACAGCGACACCCTAACGACCCCTCGTCCTGGACGTCCGGCTCCGTGTCCTCATGCAGGCGACCCCGCCCGACCTGAGTGGATGGACACTCCAGTGCAAAGGATCCCCAAGACGGAGACAGGGACTGACCGCCGCAGACCCCGACTCAGGCCCGGCGCAGTCTTCCTCCCTTTTCTCATATTTTGTTATTTCCTCCTCGGCGCCCCCAACCGAAACCTCCCAGCCCCGGAGGCGTCCTCGCAGGGGCCTCACGCTGGAACGCCGGAGACCTGCCTCGACAGTCCCCTGCCCACGGTGGCACTCG